TCTTGGATCAGACAAGATTGTAAAAATGTGACAACTTCAGAAATTGGTCTACAGATTCAATGTAATCCCTATCAAAAATCCCAGCTTTTTTTTCCACCAAAAATGACAAGTTGAGCCTAAAATTCAGATGAAAATGCAACAGACCCAGAACAGTCAGAAACAGTATTTCAAAAGAAGTTGAAGAACACAGGTTTTCAGATTTCAAAACTTTCTAACTAGCTATAGCAATCAAGATGTCAAGGTGATGGCATAAGGACAGTTGTTTCTAACAATGGAATATAGTTGAGAGTATAGAACACGATTTAAAAAAAATAAAGGTGCCAAGAATATTCATAAAGGGAAAGACCAGCCTTTTCAACAATCAGTGTTAGGACGACTGGATATCCATATGCAAAAGAATGAAGCTGTGCTCCTGTCTCAGACCATACCAAAAACTGGCTCAAAAATGGATCACAGATGGAAACATCAGAGCTAACACACTAGAAGGCTCTTGGAAGAAAACACAGGGGTAAATCTCTGTGACCTTGAATTAGGCACTGGTTTCTTAGACATGACAACAAAAGCACAAGTGACAAAAGAAAAACCAGATGGAGCAGATTACATACAAACTGAAAACCCAGGTTTCAAAACATACCAACAAAAGAGTGAAAAGCCAACTCACACACCGTGAGAAAATCTGGGCAAATCATTTATCTGGTAAAAGGAACTGCATCCTGAGCATATAGAGAAAGCTTGCAACTCAACAAGAAAATGACAATCCAATTTAAAAATGGGCAAAGGATATTAATAGGCATTTCCCCAAAGAAGATACATGAATGACCAACAGGCAAATGAAAAGATGCTAACGATGTATCAGTCACTACAGAAGCACAACCCAAAACCACAAGGACATCCAACACTGTACCCACTAGGACGACGATAACGAAAACCAGTAAGCTGGAGAGAGCCTGGAGCAGCGGAAACCCCCATTCACTGCCAGCAGGAATGTAAAGTGGTGTGGCCACTTTGGGAAAGAGTTTGGCAGCTACTCGGAAAGTTAAACACAGCATGATCACTCACCAATTCCACTCCCAGGTATATGCACAAGGGAAATAAAAACATGTCCACATGGTGACTCCGACACACAACTTCTTAACAGCAGTATTCCTAATAGCCAAAAAGAGTGGAAACAATCCACAGGTCCATCAACCAATGACTATGTTTATAAAGTGCGACATATCCCAACAATGGAATTGTGTTTGGCAATAAAAAGAAACACTGCTATTGGGGACAGCATGATGGCTCTTGAAAATACTATGCTAAGGGAAAAAGCCTGTCAGGAAAGACCACTTAGGATACGATTCCATTTACATGAAATGCCCAAAAGAGGCACATCTGTAGACGTGGACAGGAGGTGACTGTCTGCCTAGGACTTAGGAGGGACATGGGGAATGGCTGCTACTGACCACTGGTTTCTTTTGGGAATGACTGTGGGGATACGGCACTATTCTTTGGGGTGATCAGCCTGCTACCTGGTGGCAGGTTGATGACACCAGACCTCTTCTATCCTGGAAAGGGCAGAGGTTTGTCCTCACTGGAATAGACACTTATTCCAGATATGCTCCTGCCAAGACTACCATCTGTGGACTCACAGAACGCCGTATCCACCGTCACGGTACTCCACACAGCACTGCCGGAAAGGCACTCACGTGACCCCTAAGGAAGTGTGGCGGTGGGCTCATGCTCATGGAATTCACTGGTCTTACTATGTTCCCCTTCACCTGAAGCAGCTAGGTAGATATAACCGTGGAATGGCCTTTTGAAGCCACAATTACAGTGCCAACTAGGTGACAGTACTTTGCAGGGCTGGGGCAAAGCTCTCCGGCAGGTCGTGCATGCTCTGAACCAGCGTCTAATACATGGTACTGTTTCTCCCACAGCCGGGATTCACAGGTCCAGGAATCAAAGGGTGGAAGTGAAGTGATACCACTCACCACCACCTAGCCAAATGTTTGCTTCCTGTTCCCACAACACTACCTTCTGCCGGCCTAGAGGTCTTACTTCCAGAGGGAGGAATGCTGCCACCAGGAGACACAACAACAATGCCATTCAACTGGAAGTTCGGATTGCCAGCGGGACGCTCTGGGCTCCTCCTACCTTTACATCAACAGGCTAAGAAGGGAGTTACAGCGCTGGCTGGGGTGACTGGCCACGATGGTCTAGAAGTGAAACGCTGGTGATGTGTCCTTGAACCCCCAAAATCAGAGGGTTTTTTTTTTTTTGGTAAATAGATCATAAAATATTTGGAGAGGGATTTGTGTAAGATTATTTTTTCTCTTCTTACAAAAGTTGCTCACAAGAATATTATTACTATCTTACGTTTCTCCCTAAAGGTTGCTCCTGGGTGTAAGTGAAAAGAACTCATTGCTTGGCAGCCCATGAGGCTAGACTGTGCCTTAGTTACTCCCTCAGAATAGGAGGTCAGTGTGGATAAATGAAGCCCAGAAGAGTGTTACCAACTGCCCCTCTGCTTGCAGGGAAACCAGTTCCGACATAGGAAAACTTTTCTATGGAGGCAGGTGCCAGCTAAGCCTAAATTCTCTGGCATGCCTTGGCATTTTCTGCCAGAGCACCAGGTATGCCTGAGGGGAAAAAAACTTACCCTCAGCATGCTAGAGTATGTTTCCATCTGGTCTCTCAACCCCATGACTCTACCTTCTATAGCTTTACAACTGGTTTCGGCCTATACGGTCTTTCAGCAGTCGGTCTTTGACATCAGCTTATGTAAGCCTTTCATGGCCTTCGCGTTTATCCATGGCTTCACACACAACTTATTCCCATTGATTCTATTCAGAAAACACTCAGACACAGGAGCCAGGCAAGAGCCACAGCAAGCATGTCACTGCTGGGATGACACGTAACACCCTACATTTTACATGAGCAACACTGGGGGACAGCCTCTGCCATCACACATGTGGATACCTTCACACAAAGGTCATTCTTAACTGAGAAAAAGAAATACGCTGTGATTGGCTTTAGTGCACATTTGACGGTTCTTCATCACATTTTAAAGAAGCCTCATTTTGTACCATCGGCCCCTAACAGTCAATTTCTCCTAAGATTCCACACCCCACACCCAGACGGAGCAAGGAAACGTGGCGTGCAGCAGGGATTCTAGAGGTAATTACTGAATAAATAGGTGACACACGGATCTATCCATATTCAAAAGGGATCTTCACCCCACCCCTTCTTTGAAGGATTATTTGAACAAAGAGCAAAGGGAGCCAAAGCCCACAGCATCCTTGGCTGGTTCTCGGTGGGGACTTCAGTCCAGGTGTTTCTGGCTGTCCACGGGCCAGTCACCTGGAGAATGACCAGCTGCCTTTTCAGTGCCAAGGAGCAGGGCAGAATAAAGATGATAATGCTAAAATGGCAGTTCAATGAAATGAAAGCATCATACCAAGAACTCTCCAATTACTAGGTTCAGATAACTCAACGGTCTTAACCCAGCCCAAGGCATGAGCACTGTGAAGCCCATCTATCAGAAAAGCAATGTGATGGCCACGATGAGTTGATTCCTTCCATAGATAAGCCACTGAGGACCTCATTTGTTCAAAGTTTGGAAGCAAAGGCTAGAGGGTGATAAACGCCCTGCACTCAGGACACCACTTCCCCTGTTGTCACACTGGGACCCTCTCATGATGGAGAGGGAGATTTGGCTCTGCAGGGATGGACACCTTCCCACGTGTGGGTCTGCCCTGGATTCTCAGCTCAGGAACCTGGTGAAAGGACCCAGAGGAGCTCAGGCAGGGGTCAGGACTACATGCAATTGGGCAAAAATCCTGCAGCAGATTCCATTTTATCTTCCTGGTGTGGAGTTTCTCTTCGATACACACCCTTAAGGGTGATAAGGCATTGCTCCTCCTCTCATTCTTTGGAGGCAGGCAGAGATGAAAGTTACCTTCCTATCTAAACCCACAGGATTGGTGAATCCACCCACTGAGCCACGCTCAGCGTCACCGAGATGCCCCTTGAGCTGGGGGCTATGATTTTCATGCTGGGTCTCGCAAGGATATGTTTCCCTTTCAGCCCGAGGTATCCCCCGACTGCTCCACTATCAGCTGATTTCTGTGTGTCCTTTAGAGCTGGAGCCACCCTCACCTTGTGCAGGCTGAGGTCTGGTGCCCTACTAGAACCTGGGGTCACACAACACGCCTGCTGCGCTGTCTCCACCTCATGCTCACACAGACTCAAGCTGTCTGTTTGCCCAGGGGTCCCCTCCCTCGACTATCTGAGGTGGGGACAGTAACTTATTTCTGAATACCTAGTACTTAAAATGTAGTCATGCTGCACAAATAAAGACTGGGTAATGGGCCCATGGGTGACCATTTGTGTCTCTGTCTCAGTGCATTCCAGTATGTCGGACCATGACGACAGGTTTGTGTTGGATGAAAGTAGATCAGCAGCCAGTGGTTCATTCACTGCACGCAGATGTTCAACACAGAGAATCCCCACTGCTGTGGGCTCGCACTCAGACTCCAGCTGTGAGAATGTGAAACCAAAACCAGAACCGCTGTGTGCCGCAACATGAATGTGTGACACCTGGCAACCACTCAGAACGGCAGGCCAGGACGGTGAGTGAACGTGTGCGCCTCCTTCTCTGAAGGCTTGCTAAGGCTTCCGTGCCTTGGCAGCTGGAAGGACACATGCTAGGCTGCAAGCCAGGGTGGGGACAGCTACCCAAGGAGGCTTCCGGTGTGGTCTATCCTTCCATGGAGGGCTCACTGTCATGGCCAAAGGGTTACTGACTTCACATTCCAGACCTGGATGGGGCCCAGGCCAGGGAGGATGGAGAAGGGAACGGGGAGGGCAGGGGAGGAGGACGTGACTGTGGACGGATGAATGGACCTGCCTAGGTCAAAATCCTGACTGTCATCAGTAGCCTTAGGCACAGGTTGCAGAACGCACAGCTCGTGTTGTCTGTCCCGTGGCCACCACAGCCCCCGTGGGCCGACACTCACCTGTTGTCCCCCGGGCGTGGCTGAAGTCGCCCTTCACCACGTGGCACGTCTTGCCGTCCCCGCTGCAGACCCCGCATCGGTCTTCTTTGGCCGCAGACCCAATGATGCCATCACAGCCGATTTTCTAAAGAACCAGAGGGACCTCCTTATTCTGTGGTTAAGACTCAGAGGGGTTTTAAAGAGGCTGCCCCACAAGGATAATCTTTCCACCAGGCCCAGCAGGCATGGGGCCTGGGGCCCTGATCCATTCAAAGGCCCAAGAAAATATTTTAATTCAGGAGAGAAAAAAGAAACGCACAGAATCCAACCTGGATGATTTGTATTTGTACCCACATAACTGTCAAGTATATTTTTTGGTATTTGCTCTGGAGGAGGGAGACTCACGAAGGCACAATCGTCGGTGGAAGTCACACTGAGGCCAGACGCCCTGACTGCCTGGGGGCAGAGACCGTGGGGAAGGAGTGAAGCCTGGACCCCCACACCAGCCGGTGCAGCCAAGTTTCACATCATGGGGGTTCCCCTCCGGGCTGCAGGGGTGGCCTGCAACTCGGCTGAAACAACCAGCAGTCTCAGAATACACAACAGAAACCACAGACTTCTCCGCCGAGGTAGGGATGCCCACGGCTCCCTCAGGCAGGGCTGGGCACGGGCCCCTCTTTTCTCAGGTAGGGAGACCGAGTCTACCAAGAGTCCCATCACTCAAACCTTTTTAACAAGGCACGTCTGAGAGCAGAGGAGAGGCTGCCTCTACCCCAGGAGGACCTGAAAAGCGCAGCCCACTTCATAAAGAGTAGAAAAAGGTTTTGGACTCTTTTAAGTGAGAATTTTGTATTCTGTAAAATAACCTAAGTTTATACTATGGTAAACCCTGGGTGTTTATTTACTAGCTGGGTTGCTTCACTTCCCTCCACGTTTCCCCCATAAGGCTAATGCTTCCAGAACAAGGACTGGGTTTTTCCTACTGCCCTGCACCCCAAATTACATATTGGTGCTTCAGACTCCAAAGGAATCTACAGCCAGAAATGAAGATCTAAGATAATCCAAGTGGAGGTGATTTAGCCCTTTCCCATGATGCCTAAACCAGGAGCGGCAGCACCATGCTTTCCCTCACAGGCAGGGCCTGCAGCCGGCACAGCACCTGGGGTGCCAGGCTGTCTGCATGCGGACCCCTGGAGGCAAGTGCCTGGCCCCACAACTCCCCAAAGACATCAGCATCCTCCGCTCCATTACGGCAGCAGTTCTTCAACTTACGTGTGCACCAGACTCACAGGAAGGGCTGTTAAAAAAAAAATGGCCGTGTCCCAGCCCCAGAGCTTCTGACCCAGCAGGTCTGGGTGCACCTGAGAATGTGCATTTCTAATCAGCTCCCAGGAGAGGCTGAGGCTGCTGGCCCGGGGCCGTGCTATGAGACCCGCTGCACCATGGCATGCTACTCAAAGGGACAGGGGAATGAGCTTCATATTTAGTAGTCCTCAAGTCTCATCCTTAAAGCTATTTTTCTGAGTAAGATTTAATGGGAAATTAACGCTGTTCTGCCCAAAGTGATGTTGTAACTGAACAGATTCCAAAGAAGACTTTAAGATGTTCTAAAAGCTAAGCAAGTTGAGTCTAAAAATGACCATTATGAAACCTGAAAAAGGGCAGAACATGAATAAAAGATCAAACTTGCTCAAAGTTAGTATACAAAGAGGAAAAGGGTAAACTCAGAGGCTTTAGTGGCCAGAGGACAGCCAGGAGCAAACGGAGAACACTGGGCTTAACGACAGCTGGGGAGATGCAGGTAACATATCAAGACACAGACGGTAACTGGCAACCCACCGCAATGCTTTGCCAGGGCAGACCATCCACAGTGACCTGGAGCGAAGCTGGCTGTGACGAGGCATCATGAGGCTGGAGCCCAATGCAGGGTCGCCTGGATTCAGGATGTGGACTGCTAGCCAGCTGCTACCAAGTTGCTCAATAGAAAGATTACTGGGGCTGGCCGGGCGGGGTGGCTTATGCCTGTAATCCCAGCACTTTGGGAGGCTGAGGTGGGTGGATCGCGAGGTCAGGAGTTTGAGACCAGCCTGGCCAACACAGTGAAACCTGGTCTCTACTACAAATACAAAAATTAGCTAGGCATGGTGGCACACACCTGTAGTCCCAGCTCCTCTCGAGGCTGAGGCAGGAGGATTGCTTGAACCTGGGAGGCGGAGGGTGCAGTGAGCCGAGATCGTGCCACTTCACTCCAGCCCAGGAGACAGAGCAAGAGTCTGCCTCAAATTAAAAAAAAAAAAAAAAAGATTATAGGGGCTAAGAACAAAGAGAAGCCAAGATCAGAAACTGTCCCCCAGCAGCTTTCAGCAAATGCCCAGACCAAATCCGTGAGACCACGTGTCTGCTGCTTTGTTTCACTTCAGAGCTCCAGTGTGTGGTCTCCAAACCTGTCTCCAGTAGGGGCGCAGGACTACTGTCCACAGAGCTGGTCTCTCCCCGGCCTCCTTCCTGGCACCTGTTCCGGCTCCCACCTGGGCTTTCCCATGTCAGGTGCTGCCTGCTCTAGACCCTCCCTACACGGGCTTCCTGTCATTTTCAAACCACACCCCTGCTTGGAAGGAGTGAGCCTCTGGCTTCAGGTCTGGCTCCTTGTCCTGCCCCTCGGTGAAGGTTTCCTAATTCAACAGCTTCTAGGTGCCCCATTTGGTCCAGTTTCCCCCAGGCCCAAGGAAGGCGGCTTTTCGGGTTAGATGCAAGCAGGAATGCTTACAGGGAGGCCCTTTCAGTGAATTCTGGAGACCACGCAGAGGCCAGGACAGATCCACGTGTTCCACCCACGCCACTTGGTGTTATTTTAGAGGCTGTCTGCATCTGGAGGCAGGAAAGGCAGGAACGTCCCTGTCTGAACAGCAGTGAGTCTAAGAGCTGATGAGTGACAGCCACAAAACCTGTCAACGGGGGCATTCTGTTCCATTGTTTCAGTCAGCGCAAGCAACCTATAATCTTGGCAGAAAGTGGGATGGTTTTCCATTTTTCAAATGGAAGCTGCCACAGGACTGAAGTCACTACTTCTGAATGTCAGGGGAGCTTGGATGACTGTATTGAAGAGGCTCGGCACTCCAAGAGAACAAGATGACTGAGCCCAAGGAAACTCTGTCTTTGTTGTGCATGTATTCGTTCATCCACGGCAGTTACTGGTCTGCTACGTGCCTAACCTGGGGATAGAGATGTGCCAGACAGAGGGAGGCAGCAAGGTGCACACAAGCGGACGTTCCAGAGCGTGTGCCTGAAGATGCCCCGGAGGCCAAGCACGGCTCCCGATTCTCCTCCCACCCCCTGGATAACCCCTCCTTCCCCTTGCTTCTTTGACTGCCCGAAAATGGGTAGCTCCCCGGGGGCTCCCTGCTCCTTTTATATTTTCTTGGTAATTCGCCTTCTCCTTGGACTGCAGCCACCACTCTCATGCAGAGAGCTCTTAAGCCCGCTTCTCCCCTCATCCCACCCCGCTTCTCCCCAGTAAGCATCTGCTGAGCAAGCTCTGTGGACTTTCAACGCGACTTCTCCTCCAAAGCTGTCTGACTTAATTCTAGTCGGACACCCCTGCCACTGCCTTGGAACTGACAGGTATCCTAGCCGGAAGCCTGCGCCATTTCCGACTCTTCCATTTTGGGATGTACCCAGTTAGCTGGTGAGCTTGGGTTTCTGTCCCCTGAAAACCTCCAGAGTCTCCTCCTCCTCGCTCTTCTCCACTCCCGAGTTTATGCACTCCTGACTCAGGACCTGAATGATGGGAGCATTTTTCTCCCACCTGCTGCCAGCCTAATCCCCACATGAGAAGAGAGAGGCGATCTGTGGCCACAGACCCATACTGCCTAGCAGAAACGTCCACACTTAGAAATTTAAGACTCGTCGTCATCTCAGCCCAGCTGTTCACCAACTCAGCTGCCCTTCCTCCCTCTCCGGGTGTACAGTGAATCAAACCCCCTCCAGCCCCCTCTTGCAAGCCCCACTCCAATGACCCCTCAGCCAGGTGGGCTGCCGGAATAGCCTCTTAACTCATTTTCCAGGATCTGCTTGAGTCAGTTATCCATAACTAAGATCACTTCACTCCTCCGCTTCAATTCTGCCTGGGCCCTGTCTTCTGTGTGGCAGCCTCTGCCCTCTGTTCCTGGAATGCACCCACCTCCCTCTTGCTTCCCTTTGCCTGGAGCTCTGTGCCCCTAACTCTGCCAGGCTGGCTCTCCCTCAAAGCCTGTCTCCTCTAAGAGATGTGCTAAGCCCCCTGCTCACTGGCTCCTCGGCCACAGTGCCCCACTGGGTCTCTCTATGGTGCTGTTTTCCTTTCTTCTTCACAGATACCAATCTCTAGAAAGATCACATTTGTGAGTTGACATGGGACAGGGATCCTCTTGGTCCTGCTCCCCAGTGAAAGCCCAGCACATACTATGGTGTGCAGCACTGAGAATGTCTTCAACAAACACCTGATAAATGAAACTCTATCCTAGCTGTTTTCTGCTGTGTCTAAGCGGAGCCTCCCATCAGCTATTAAATGACGCCTTCACCTCTGGTTGCTAGGTTTCCATGTGAATTTATGTCATCTCCCTAAAGGACCATAAGCACATGGAGGACTCTGTCTGAAGATTCTTCGTATTCTTGGCCTTCTCTCCCGACACACACAATGGCCGGTGTGGTGTTGAGCACACGTGTTCAGTAAGTGTGTACACACCACGGCCTCTTACAAAGCTGGGCAGTTTACTTTTTCTCACACTTGAATTGGGACTTCCTTGCACACATTTTGATGGTACTTTTTTTTTTTTTCTGGCAGGAATAAGCAGTACTTGCTTTCTTCAACTTATCAGCTATCTTCCAACTCCTGCCTCATCCAATCTCTTCTGTTGGGAGGCTACTGACTTTCTGACTGATGTTTAAGTGAATGCAGACTTCAGGCCAGCTGTGTAGCCGTCACTCCGGGCTCCGCTGGGCTCCGGGGTGAGCGCAGCCAGGGCCTGCAGTGCCCATCTTCCTCTTACTTCAGTCTTGTTTTGCTAAACGACATGTAACTTCTGCAGAATGGATGCATGGAATATACAATTTCAGAGCTCTTCCGGGTTTCAAAATGAGGTTCCCTGCAGGCTTGCATGGTAGTTT